CCTACAATCATACCTGCCATAAATAGATCAATATAAGTCAAATTTTGAGTTTGTTTATATTCACGAAATTTTGTTTTCGTCAATCCATCGGTATATAAAAATGTTATCCACGAAACATTTTGACGATAGAAGACAGCTGACATGCCTTGGTACAATTCTTGGATAATGCCACGAGAATTTATATGTGTTTGAAAGAATTCAAATACACTAATACGTTGAGGACTAGTCATAAGCCAAACTTTAAGTCGTTCGAAAGGATTAATAACAAGAATTTCAAAATTAGCTATAGAAAGACCAGTGAGAATTTTAGGTAAATGAGGATAATTTTGAAGGATGCGATCACTTAAAATATGATCTCGATAGAAATTAGGAAAGAACAACATCATGGGCCAACGATATGTTTGTTTAATAGCACGTCGAGTTGTATTTGGAATGGCACCAGAATAAAAACCAAGAAAACCTTTCGATGTATAAATCTCATGAACTACTCTCACAGCATTCGGATAATTGGCTGGATTTGCTTGCCATCGTGTGCGAATTGTATCGAAGGGATGTTCGAGGGGAAGACCACCGACTGTTCGGCTTACACCAATAGCAGCTGCAAATAGTAATTGAGTGGTGCGATCCCATTTCTCCATTTTACGAACAAACTCGTACTAGAAGTGAGAGTAGTTAAAACAAAGTAGAAAATGTTTCCTTGTGCAGATACAAAAGCTTAAAGCGATCAGAGCGCAAAAATAAACGTTAGCACATGCAAAGCGTTGTTTTTTACGTTTTAGTTCTTTTTTGTTTTTTTCGTTCTTTGTTAGTTGAATAGAACGTAAGTGTCCCAATAGAAGAAAAATCATGAGGTATATTTCGATATATTACTAGTAGAAAACATGTGCCTATATAATCTGAATCATGTAATGTTACTTCTTTTTTCTTCTTTTCAATTTCTGATCTTTCTCCATCATTTGTGTTAAGTCCAAATTTTTTGTTATTAGTCATTTAGTCAACTAGTGTAGTTCAAGGAGATGAATATAAGCTCGCAAAATATCTCGCGCGATATATTTATAATAGATTCAAGTTAACTATTTGTGAGTTGTTTAGAACATATTTTGATAAATATAAGAGTAATGACACAAATTTTGTTTTTGCATGATGATGTTGTGAGTACTTTTTTTTTTGTAATACAACATATTTTAGAATGTATGTAAGAAAAAAGGATACTATATTCTGTTTGGAAGTCTGTATTGGAGGATGCGATTAACCACATAAATGAATCAAGTACTGTCACAGTGTTAAATTCATTTTGCCGAGGATTACTAACATATTTGAGCAATAAATTATTTTATTGAAATAGAGTTTCATATGCTCATTAAGATTCCATTGAAGATCATGTAATGTTATTTGAAGTGAATAGGTGCACAGAATCAGACTTCAGTATTTATAACATATAGATAATCGAATTTGATGCATAGAAGTGAAACATGGGTTTCAGCATAAATCTAATATCTTTAACTGCAATAAAAAGTATATTAAGTTTTCGAAGAGGATAACAAGTATGAATTATGCTTATTTTTTTATGAAAAAGATCGTCAAATATACAGGAAACGTAGATACGTTGAAAGAAATTATAAAAAACCATGTTTTTCTTTAATTCTTGCAAACATTTGGTTAAATCAATTTACTCCTGATTATTTGTTCCCATAAGATATATATTGCATGCCCCTTCAGAGCATTGTTATATTTCTCCTTTAATTCAATCAATATCAAGATTGATGAACGTAGACTCAATTTTCTGTTCGACATTCGATTATTTTCGTTTATTATTTTGTCGATATTTGGTTTTAAATACTTCAAAATAATGATTTGATAAGACAATTTCGTCATGTGGAATATATTTCAACAACATTCTCTATGAGATAATGATGAGATAGGTTGCTTCAAGGAATAAACTACTAAAGATCGGATTGTATTGATTCGATGCACCTAATCATATAGGACACTATCAAGTTTCATAGTACTGATCACTAAAATAGAATCATATCAATATACACAGCTAGCAAAAATGATCGCTAAATAAGAGTACCGCAGTCAGATTCAAGTGTTTTCTAAATACACTTATTTTTCATATTCAATTGTCTTTCAATTGTATGAAACACACGTGCTGTAATATTCTCTATACACTGACAGAAAATCATAAAAGTTGATCATCGTTCAAGGATAAAATGTCTTGTTCGATCAGACTATGCCTCATCTGATATGTATGAACTCTTGGTGATAGTTCATATTGATCAATTCTTCATCGGTTACTATATCTTCTAAATGAAATCTTCGTTTTGAAGCTATTTGCAACAATCACTAATAGTTAATTATTCGCGTTCGAAACAACGAGTTCATTGAAATATCGTAGTATATGATAAAGAATTGTTACTGTAAGCTGTCATCATCCATTGACAGATTTTGAATAAAAGCTAGCCTTCTTAAACATATAACTTTACTCAAGTTTTTTAACTTTATGTCAGTGGATGGAGAGTGATCTAAAATATATTTCTATTATTTTACATGTATGTTTCATTCAGCAAAGCTTACAATATCTACAGATGAAAGATTGTATGATTTATCCATAGGTAACAATACTAATGCAGTAGCGTTTCTTTTTTTTCTGTTTTAAATAAAATCATTCTGGAAACTATTTTATCGCCTCACTTATGTACGCTGTAATTTCGCTTGAGTTTGTTTTAATGATAAAATGTATACTTTGTTATCGCTTGTAAGTTTTCTCTTGAAAGAACTGAAAGTTTTGATAGTATAGTCTCAACTAAATATTATCCACCTTTTCAAAAAAAAAGAGAGGAGATGTTTATAGTCACACTTCGTCAGTCTATCATGAAAGTGGAACTGACAATCTTAACAATAATCGTTTGCCATATTTAATGAGAGCAGCTCATGATGGATTGAGGACATAAGACGTAGCTGAATGATAGTTAGCAAAAGTATAGCAAAAACTTTTTTAAATAATGTAAGATATAATGAATTGTAAATAAATCAACTGTTTTATCTTGCCTTGATTTTTGCACATTGAAAAGTTTTATCTTAGTATAACTTATGAAATCATTCTTTTCAAAAACTTGATAAAAATCTATTACTATCAGTCGCCTAGTTAAATTTTCTCATGCTTTATCTTTTTATCAGTAACAAAGTAAAAAAATGACACATCTAATGTAGTTTTCGTCAAAGTAAATATTCATGGTGTAATAACAACGTATATACACAGGCGCTTTTAGTATTTAAATACATGATTAAAAAAAAGAACATCTAAAGTGTTGTAGCTGAAAGCAAACTGTTTTAAATCGAGGCACACTCAATATTTCGTGTATTACAAAAAAGTACAAGACTTTGAATCTAATCTTAGACAATGCCTTATATTAATCTCTATTTCGTTACAATACCTGGAAAACGTATATTGGTCACATTGCCTGAAGATTTTCAATTAACTGATATGCTCGAAGAGATTCGAAACAAAATGAACGATACAGCTATCGAAAATTGTATTTTCTTATGCAAAAGTAGACGATTGTCTCTCGACGATCCAATTATCTTTCAAGCCCAAAAAAGCAAACTTATAAAAGATGGGAGCGTTATTTTTGTTGGTAACAAAATAAAAACCTGTAATTGGAATCAAACAGAAATCAAACCAAACAAAGTAAAGTTTTGCAAAAAAAAAATTTATTTCTTTTGAGTTATCGTAATTTTCTTTTCAGTCTGAACCTTCGATTAATATTTATTTTATCAAGGCTACTGGACAACAAATACTCGCAAAAATACCTCAACATTTCAAGTTTACTGATTTCTTGAAAATAGTTGAAATGAAATTTGGACAAAATGCCATAAAAAATTCTCGTTTTATTTGCATGGGTCAAGAATTAAATCTTAGGGATCGAATTACGTTTGAAGTTCAGAAACATTTGATTAGAAATGGAAGTATCATCTTAGAAACTAATCAAACAAAAGAACATGTTTACATTGATCAAGATCGCTCGTTGATACCAGAGTCAAATATTTTTTCAAGTTTTTATATTTTATTACCAATTTTATTTTTTCTCGTATGTTGTATACAAATTTAAAGAATTGTTGAATGCTTGTATATTATTTGTTTTCATATTCCATAGCGTTATTGAATAGAATTTTAATTGAAAAAAAAACAATAGATTTATATGATACGTATGAAAAATCAAAGCATTTGTCTATGTATAAAGAATGAATTCAGTGAACATGAGTCATAAGATAGAGTTACAAAATCTTATGAATCAAATGCTCATGTCTAACGCAAAGATCCAGATTAGACTACATATGCTTAAGTTCATCGTAGTTCAGAAAATTTTCTGTGAGGTAAAACGATTTGTAACATTATAAGCCGAATATCTTATTCGAACAGTAATCTTTCCAATCGATATGTAAAACTGTCATTAGTCCAACGATGTTGGCAATAATCTACCTTATTCCTAATACTAACATGAACGAATACAACAGTATATCACAACTTTCTCAGTTAAACATAACTAACCTTGATTAATCTACAATCTAAAACGAATTTCTGCAGCACGTGGTGAGCCGTGGCTTACTACCACAGTCTGACAAAAATCACTGAAAACACTTTATTTTCTAAAGCAATAAAAAGTTGTTCTAAAGATATTAGATATGAATAATACAAGAAAAAAAAAATCTTTGAAGATAACATAAATGATCATTATTCAAAGAGAGGAAAGTATGACTTCAGTATTTCAAAGTACTGATGTTGCACTTTTCGATCTCTCCTTTATAGTAACAGTCTCATCTTGAAGTAAGACATAAGTATATAATACGATTCGTCACGACAAAAAGGCATATTAGAAAATACTTCAAGTTGTTCATTTGCTTGAAGATCAACTGTATTTTTCTGTTATAGTTGAATAAATTATTTTTTCTTTATTGACATGATAGAGTAAAAAAACAAAAAGCTGCTTAGTCTTACAATGATGAAAACGAGATTTGTCTTGTCCTAACGTAGCCTATCATATCTTGATGACCAATTGCTTATGCTCGAAACGTTCAGAAAAGTTAGAACCTCTTGTTTTTTCGAGTAATCGCAATTGTTCATGTACTCTTTTGTGTCTATAATGTTCTATTTCAGTTCTATCTATCTATCTATCTTTAGAAAACGAGTATCAATTGAGTTTAATTTGATTTCTTTTTGCAATAGTTCTAAGAAAGATATTAATAAGTCATATAATTGTTTATAGTTGACCAATACACAACATTCTATTGGTTTCATAAGAGTATCATCACTTTCTTCCTCAAATTATATTTCTTTGTATAGAACTGAAGTTCTAATATGTACTGTACCATCTCTTTGAAGCTTCCGAATTTCTCTGAATCGATATATTTAGCATATTTATGTTTTCATTTGACTTAGATTTTACTGTAGGATGTGGACATAGTGATAGTATTATTTGATATGTTAATGAACATTTTGTCACAATCTTTTCCAATGAATAAAACAATATATTCAATACTAATCTGATCAATTTTATGATTTAGCCATAACATTATAATTGTGAGAGAAAAGTAAATCTTAAAAACTGATTTTCATCTTTAGGTAGACATTAGTGATATGAATGATGAAGTATATAATGCATTACTCGCATTATGTCTCTTAAAAGTTGATTATCACACATATCGAAACATTGCTATTGATAATCGTATATGATCCATTTCTCTGATGGTGCATTACTTGATATAAGTCATGTTTTTCTGAATCCTTTTTATTTCCTAACTTGTCAAATTAGTTATAACATGAAGTAAAAATTATAAAGATAGTCATCATTTCAAATGTTCAAAGTAGACAAATATTTAAAAATAAGTTCTACAAATATCGATGTTTACGTGCAAGATCTATAGCACGCTTCTTGCGTCTCACTTCTTCTTTTCCAATAACATATGGTGCAGCACGAAAATTTTTCACATCTTTCACATTTACTCCTTGATCACTTAGATCATACGTTGGTTGATTGATAGTTTCTTCTGTGAAGAAGTCACCAATCCATATCGATTCGTTTAGTTTAAAAAACTTCTTGAAAAATCTTTTAAATTTTATCCACCAACGATCATCATCTTTCAAATGAACTGAAAGATTTGGTCTTAAGAATCGAAATCGTTTTCCTTGAGACATAGAATTTGAGGCTATTTGACATTGTACTTCAGTTGGATTAATAATAAAAAGACGATCAAAATTTTTATCACCTATATCTCGGCGTAAATCATTGAGATATTGTTCAGTTGCTTTTACAGCTAAATCAGCTGCTTGTTTACTAAAATACAAAAAATGAAAGACAAACAATTAGGTAGCTATAGCATTCCCTTAGACTCTATATCATAACATTTTAATCACTTACTGAAGATCAAAATGAGGTGAAAAGACTAAACTATATGAATCTTTATTGATTCCACCGATAGCTGGTATATGTGATGATTCATCAAGTATTCCACCATGAGAACATTTTTCAACATTTGTTGGCTTTTCAAGTACTTCTTCATTTTCACTAAGACCATTTGTAGTATAACCACTTGTAAGTATTTGTTGATTATTAATTTCTGGTCGAATATTGTTTTTACAATCATAATATACAATTGGACAGATACCTATTGTTAATTCTTCCCAAAGAGTCTAAACGAGAAAAAAAATTTATTCATTCACTAAATCTAAATAGAATTACACAGGGTTTTTCGATTTTTGTACAGCCATCGTTTGTACATGTTGATTGATCAGATTGAGCAACCGTACCAATAATTTCATTGATACCAATAAGTTCATTAATATCAGTTTTGCCCATTTCGACCCAATTTGAATGTGAATAAAAATCTTGTAATGTATGAAGCGATTGACCAAGTAATTGACGTACATTAGTCAAATCTTCACTATCATCAAGTGTATTATTGATGACTAAATAGAATAAAAGTGATAATGTTGAAAAGTTAATTTATATTATTAGATTACTTATTTGTCGAAATTGAAGAATACGTTTACTAGCATTGATAAATAATTCATTATCGAAATGTGCTTCCGAAAGTTTTTTTGTTTTGTTATCAAAATCAGTGAGAACATTTTGTGTTATGATAAAATCAACAATAAATTTAAATGGAAGTGAATAAGATGCTACTTGTAATTCATTATATTCAGGATATGCTAATTTATAAAGATTATCAATAGTATGATCTGTAGTTAAATATTCTTCTTCATTAATAAAGCTCTTATTGTTATTATTTGGATGAATACGTGTATCATAAAAGAAACGAGCTAGACTACGAATAACAGCAAGTTCAGTAATATCTGCATGTGTAATACCTTGAAAAAGAAAAAGAATTATATAGTATTCACATGATTGAGCAGAAAAAAAACCTTACTAGTGCTAGATATCGAACCATATGTAACCAATGGATGGGTTATAAATGCATATGTACCAACAAAATTGACCAATAAATGCAAGAAAAATTGCATATAAATATTCACGTTCATCAATAGTTAAAAATCAGCAACAAAGTACAAAACAAAAAAAAATAATATCTTTTTCGATTCGCATTTGACAATATATATATATTTGTGTTAGAGTGGGCGTTATGAAAAAAATTTCGTTATTACAGAAACATTAAAAATTTGAAAAAAGACTCGTAGGATACGAACAATCGATCGGTGGACACAGATCGTTTTTATGTGTATAATTAAAAAGCAACAGCTGTATAAAGAGAAAAACTGCGATACTATAAAATAAAGCAATGATTCATGTTGATAATGTGATATAGGCACAGGAGCAATCCATGCTTCGTACCTATAGGATTTTTGTTGATTGCATAGAACTGAGCAGTTGGAATTCTTTCAGTAACTGCCAAAAAAATCTTCTCGAAAAACGAAGAATTCAAATAGAAAATTGAACTGAAGAAAAATCAATTCGTGTAATATCTCAGTAAAACAACAAGTTCTATCGACAAATAGTCATTACTACACTCCTACCAAGGTCTATTTAATATATCACGTCGCAAATACGCTAATACTAAGAGTACAGAACGAACTCCTTTAAAGTTTTTCATCTAATAATTCAAAACAACTAATATTGAGCAATATTTAAATTATAGTTTGTTTTACTTGACTGTTTTTAGTAAAAATATAATCTCTTTACAAGAACTGATAAATTTGATTTATTACTTCTTTTTTTTTCAAATGACTATTTAATTCAACTGAAAGCTTCTCAATTCTTAATAGGCATACTTGTGTTGAGCATGACTTCCTCAAGAGAAGAGACCTTTTTTTTATGATTCTTCTATTGAATATATGAACTGAAAACAATCAACTATTTGAGAATATCAGAAAGTCGATTAATAATAGTGGAGAATAGTGAACTACAGACTCGGAGATTAACAACGTTTACTTTAGATGAAATTCAACTTCTCATGAATAGAAAAATTTCAGGATCATAAGAAATTCGAGAACCGTTGTATTCAACATTTCACATTGGAATATTGATGTCTACCAAAAATTTGTCATTTGCAGACTTTCAAGTGCATTTTTTTTCGACAATGTCAAAAAACTCTGAAATAAATATTTCTAAACTTTCGAGAAACTATCAACAAATGTATAAAAGTTTCTTGGAGGACTGAAAATAGATCATCAACTTCCTTACAGGAGCGGCATGCATAATAGTCGACATCATATGTATGCGCAAGCGAAAACTATGCTTTATATTGTATTTTTCGTATTTTAGTTATCGATTCTTAAAACTTTTTCACTCTCTCCATTGTTTTTCTATCACTATGTGTCATAGTTTCTAGTCAATAGTCATGGCCACAATTTATTTATTTAAAAAAAAAATTGAAAAAAAAAAACTTTAAAAAAAGGAGTATTGTATATTAATTTAGTGACGATTACGAAGAACATCGATAAAATGTTTCTTATGTCCAGTGTTTCCACTTTCAAGAAAATAAGCTGCTAACGAAAATACTTCATATCTTTGGAATCATATCCCAGGTCTTTTATATCATATGTTGGTACATCAGGATTTTTGTGGAGAGAAAACCAACCACTTAATATTGCTTTAATCATATTAATACGTTTTTTTATCCAGTTTGTTAAATTTGTAAGAAGACTATTATCTTGTGTCGTACTAACTGAAAGGGATGATGTAAAAAATCGAAATCGATGTCCGCTTTTAACTGCATTGGATGCTGCTTGAGATTGTACTTGTGTTGGAGTAATCATAAACAATCGATTGAAATTTTTATCTCCAATATCTTTACGTAGATTATTGAAAAATTGCTCCGTTGCTCTCACAGCTAAACTAGCTGCTTTAAAACTAAAAAGAACTAAAGTATTAGAAATCTATTCAAGACGCATCAATCATATTCTGAAAAACATGTCTAGATAGAACGTCTTCTTATATTCTATCATATTCAATGTAAGATTTAATATAAAATTTGTTGACTTACTGAAGATTCGAATGAGGTGAAAGAATCAAAGTATTAGAATCTTTATTAATTCCACCAATAGCTGGTACATGTGCTGAATCATCAATTACTCCACCATGAGAACATTTTTCAACATTTGTTGGTTTACTTAATAGATTATAGTTTTCATCGAATTGATTAAAAAGATATCCACTTGTAAGTAATTTTCTATTATTGATATCCGGTCGAATATTATTTTTACAATCATAATATACAAGCGGGCATTTTCTGTATGTAATACGTTCCCAAAGAGTCTGTAAAACAAAATAATCCATTAAAAGAAAAACAAACAATGGTATCTATAGTGCTTACACATTTCCTTTCTATTCTTGTACAACCATTTTTTGTACATGTTGGTTGATTTCGACCAGCAACTGAACCAACATTTTCTCTGACACCAATAAGTCCATTGATATTCGTTTTACCCATTTCAATCCAATTTGAATGTGAATAAAAATCTTGTAATGTATGAAGCAATCGTCCAAGTGATTCACGTGCATCAGTCAAATCTTTACCATTAGTACGTGCATCATTAACAACTAATACAAATATTAAAATCAAGTATTTAAAATCATTTTGAAAAAAAAAGTTACCTGTTTTTCTAAGTCGAAGAATACGTCGACTACCATTTATAAATGCTTCACTATCAAAATGTGCTGCTGAAAGTTTCTTTGTTTTCGGATCGAAATCAACAAGAGCATTTGAAGTCATAACAAAATCAAGAACAAGTTTTAGTGGAAGTGAATATAATTTTACTTGTGCTTGACTATATGCAGGATAAGCAAGTTTATAAAGATCATCAATAGTATGTGCTTTAGTAAAATATTCTTTTTCATTGACAGTATGTCCATTATTGTTATTTGGATGAATACGTGTATCATAAAAGAAACGAGCTAGACAACGAATAAAACCAGCTTGTGTTATTTCTGTATGTGTGATACCTATTATTAAGAAGAAAACAAAATAAATCATTTTTCATAAAAAGTCAAAAAAATTGAAAATTACTATCAGTAGTTTGAGCACCATCTCCAACAATTGGATATGGAATAAATGCATTTATATAAGTACAAATGCTTAGAAGATGAAATAGAAATAGTATATGTGTATTTAACATGAAAGTTATTGTATGTTGATAATTGAGAATAATATGTGAATGGTGTTTGATCCGATTCGTTTGAAATAATCTATATTTATTAGGTATCTCATAGATGACAATGATTTTATATGACGAAAATAGATGAGCTAAAACCAAACGACGCATAGAGGCAAATTATCGATTACTCATTATCAACACTATTTGTAGGTATGATTGTCATTTGATTTTTGTTTTTTATTTTTAGTTTTGCTTAACATTTGCCGTCGAATACATTCATTCGTATTCACTTTTCTACATGAAAGACTCTGTTTTGTGTGCAAAATACAATATACACAAACAGAATATATCTTTATAAATGCAAAGGTAAATCAATCGATTGTATTCATGTGATACTAAGCATGTGACAATAGCTAATTAATTACATCATCATCATCCAAAAAAATATCTTATATACAAATCTAATTCAGTTGTAGATATTTCCATCTTAAATGTCAATAAGTTAAATATAATAGCAATTCAAAATTTCTATTTAGTAAAAAAGGGTAATATTCGGAAAGTATAAGGAGAAAATCATTACTTTTCAATAAATCGTAATATTTTCAGAGGACAATATTCAAAGGTAAATGCATAGTATCTCTACGTATTACGCATTAACTTTCAATAAATCAAGTTATTGTGAGTTCGATAAGTAAAATGATTCTATGCGTTCTAGTGAATGAAAACTAATATGATTCAATGATAAAAAAATAATACAACTAAGCTTTCTCAACAATAGATCAATGATAAAATAATACTAAATTAATGTATTCATTATTGAATGTTTTTGCAAAGCATAATAATTAACGGCATGCCATCCTTTCTTGGAGTTTTCTAGGAATAGTTCAACGAAAAATTGTGAAACTTTCAAGACAGATAAATTTTGATAAGCAGAGCAAAAGTTTTCCCTCTCCCGTGTAAACCTCTATACTTCCTTTTTTCAAGCCGGCATTTCTTGTAGTATGACCACTAGAATTAACTCTGGATGTATATCTTTTTTCTCTCAAAACTGTCGTTGGTAGAGTTTAGGAAAAGCAAAATACTGAAAGCACTATGAAACAACGTGGTTTTTTAATCATACTAAGTTTTTAAATGGTGCAGCATGTCGAAGAAAAAAAACAATAAGCAACTCCAATTTGACCAAATTACTCAGAAAAAATTGAGTCCAATCAAGCGTACTATGTGCCAGAATAGAGGAGAAAACTTCGTAACTTTTGTGTATGTATTAGAACTGGTTTTTCTTCAACTAAAATAATCGAAAAATAGAAGGAGTGTTCAGCGGTGTTAGAAGTTCACAGGCCATGCTCTCAGCATCTTTTGAAACTATCATTAGGATAAGGTGCATACAAATAATACTCGCAGTACAAGTTTTTCTGCTGCGGACTTCGAAAGTTGGTTTTAATAAAAGTACTAACTAACAACGAAATATTCTCATTTATATGTTATTTCATACAGGATATTTTGAAGCTAGTTTAGTGATAAAAAACTAACAGTTGAAAAAATTTTGTTTTTAACATCTGAAAAGTGCAAGAAAAGCTTCTTGTTATGTATTATAAGAAATATGATGATTTCAAAACATTTTAATATTTATAATTGTTTACATTGTGAAATAATCAAAAATGTATATTTGTAAACGTTATTCAGGAATGTTTTCCACACTAATGTAAACATACCTTACTTTTATATCGGATTAAATGTTACGATTAAAAACTAAGAACAGTCACAAGGAACTGACAAGAAAATTTTTCTAGTTAATTCTTGTCAATTATATCCTGTTCACTAACTGTTTGAATACATGAATGAATATTGTTTTATACATTATTGTCAATGAAACGAATGCTGAAGATGTAATGGACAACTAAATATTCTCTATGGATTTCGACAGTAAATAAAACAGTATCTATCTTTGTTAATAACGATTTTATTTTATCGACTTCATTTCTTATTGGACATTGCGTAATTCTTTTTACCTAGAAGATGTAAACAAACAATTTAAATAAGTTGACAGCTCATAATCACGAAAATAATGCAATATAATCACTATTGAATCATTTTTTGTTTCCACTCTCAATCAGACAATGTAAATCGGTATAAAAGAAATAATAACAATATCGATTAAACTCATGAAAATAAATGTGAATAATGGTTCACAGGTGACATTTATCAATGTTGCTCTTTGAAACAAAGAACATCATAGGATGATTTTCTTCATTTTGCAGGTCATTTCTATTCAACCATCCTGTTTTGTAGGATCCACAGCAAGACATTAAAAAGCTTGTCTCGGTAGGACACCTTTTTCAGAAGGGTCTTTTTCATAATAGATCTTCTATTGATACAAAAACCATTTATAAAAAACATGGTTATAAACTTTATCACATATTTTTCATTAGAAACTAAATGAAAAATAAAAAAGATGCATGAACATCCATCAGTGGAGTAAACCAATAGTAAAACAAAAACATGAGAATACAGGATTGAAAATGTAATCAATATAAACCAATGGATAATGCAGGCGGATAAGTTTTTTGTTTTATTGCTTTTTCTTGAATTTCTCATACGAATAAATAAATGATGTTGTCAATTTGATTCGATAATAAACATGTATGTCTCTCAGTAAATATTAATCTATCTGAGTTAACTAATGTTTTCAATGAAGCATTAGTTACTGGTATGAAATCTACTCTTTTAACTACTATGCATAATAATGGAAAATCATAACGAGTTTTATTAGTACAATAGAACTTAATTGACTCTTGATCAACTAAATGACTTGAGTGTCCTGTAGGACTTCAATATTATATTTCAGGCTTTGCAACTTAATAAAAAGATTGTTCTGTTCCTACACGTGCAAAACAAAATAGTCTATCTACAGAGCACGTGTCCTCGGACGTTTTCTACTCTGTTAAATTGTTCTTTATCATAGTATGAAAATGACAAATGAAATTGTTAAAAATCTTAACATAAGCATGAATGATACTTTGTTTTTCAGGTGATTCAACAAAAATCCAGATTCGTTCGATTTTTTTTTCAATGTGTTCTTCGAAATAAAAAGAAATTACCGAATAAAATAATATATCTGCTCTCAATATAAAATTGCAATATAATTTCTCATTTATTACAAATAAATGAATCAATAATTGTTATACTTTACTATTTATATCACAAAAAAGAATATTTCTCATCAAATAAAAACTTATATTGAAAAATTAATAAGTTGAATTATTTTTATTATAACATGTATTTTGACAACAACAAATTCTGCAAGAAAGTTGATAGAGGACGCTTTTTCCTGCATCAACATTTCATTATATTCAAATCAATTAGGTGAATAATTTATGTTAGTCATATTGTATAATGACGTATTTTGATAATGTTCAATTGAGCATATTTTTCATTTGAAAAAAAATGAAGAAGTGAAACAGAATTTCGATTGAATAATTCAATTAACCTATTATGATGTAAATAGTTGTATTCTTTTTCTCTTCTTCTCTTTCAATGACTCATTCCAATATGTGCACTATCAGATGCTGCAACGGATAGTCAATCACGCCATACATCCCTTTTTGAAAAAACATTTTATTTTATCTTCGAAAATACCAAAATACTCAAATGATTTCAAAACAATACTCTTCATATTTTTTTTCACTATAGATCTTGATTAATTACGGGCAAGAAATAGTAAAATTCGACGAGAATAACGAACAACTTGTAAGTTTTGATGTATTTTCTATTAGGAAATTGTATTTAGACAATTTCATGCGTACCAATAGCTGTTTTTATTTAGAAAAAAAAATTCATATAGTCACTCGGCAAAAAAACGAAAACTAGACACAGAAGATTGAAAATATTTTAAAGTTGTTACGAATAATCTGTTAATTATATAAAACAATCATTAGTCTCGACGACAAGATTTTTCAAGGATATGATATAATGAGAAATTTTCTGAGAATTCACAAAAGATGCATAAACAATTTTGTTAAACTAGAGTGATGGGTTACGGTTTTTTGTTGGAGAGAAAAAAACAAAATTTTCTTCGAAGTAAAAGTATGCGCATCGCTACAGTGTTCTCGATCATTACATCCTTGAGAATTCATAAAATATACATGTTGTCAACTGCAAAGTAGGACAAATATTTAGATTACTTAAAACATAAGGATTAGCTTCCATCTTAATAATATTAGTCATATTATTATTTGTCAATCACAGCTATACGAAAAATTCAAGTGAAAAGACACGTGTAGTTTTACAAAACAAATACATATTATTGTGAAACTTTTATCTTACTTCAAGTGAATTTCTTATCAATGTTGTGGGATTGATAAGCAGTATTATACAAGAACTGACTAATATTCATCAATAGATACTCATATACTAAGGTATTGGCAAATCGAAAATTGAGCAAAAAATTGTTTTTGTCATGATTTGTTAGACCCTGTCGAGTTACTTGAAAAAAAATGATTTTTGACACATTCAGACGATGTTTTCATAGTAAAACTTAGGAATGTTGGTTTTAAAAGAATCATAAAAGCCAATAAAAATTGAAATATGTCAAAAGCATCAAGCCTTAATAGTTCTAATATTAATCCGACTTTTGTTTTATTTCACTTGTCATGTAATTAGATAAATAATTAACGTATACTTTTTGAAATGATAGTAATACGCCTCTTCACTGTTATTATCTAGTCCTGTGACCTATTATTATTCTCCAAAACGTTGAAATTCAACGAAAATTAGTTTTGAATATTTAGTAAACTATTGTATCCGAATTTTATGATATTCGTTTCTTTTCAAACTAAACTTCTGATCGTGAAAATCTATCAATGCGAACCTATTTCTATATGGTTTTTGAATATCATATTAAAAATATCGATTTTCGCTAGAATCAAACAAGATTTTTCAAAAAGTATACATCAATTTTTTTTGCTAATTATATAACAAACAACATCTTAAATATTGCAAGAATGAAATTTATTTAATTTATA